GGCTCTCATGTGCAAATCATGCCGCCAGATGCCTTGCGTCCCCGTCATTATTCAAAAGCAAGATGTCAAATGCATTTATGCTTTTTGCCAACTCAGGCTAAAGACTGAGTGAGCCCTGGTGGCTCTGTCAAATTAAACACTAGAACGAAGAAGAAATCTATCCAGAGCATATTTCAGAGATGCGTTCTACTTTTGGCAAAAGCCTGTATTTTATTTTTCGTGGTTAACAGTTTCTACATGATCTTAACTTGTGATTTTTTTGTTTGTTTGTTTTAGCTGGAAATAATGAAAGCAAAGCCGAAGATGTTGTGAGCAACATCAAAGAAGAAACCTTGAATCCCAGAGGTACCGTACGGTGGATGGTCCAGTAGCTCTTTTTCTCGGGACGGGTGGTCGAGTTGCTCACTGCTAAGCTTTACACTCGGGGTGTCGTGGGATTAGGCACGAGGATGTAGGCTGGTGAACGCCGTGTGCCCCATGCCATTTGGGAGAGATGGCTCTACTTTTGTGCTTTCCTTGTGGGGATTTCTGGTCCTGCTGGAGAGCAGGAGGGGAACGGGATGTAACCGTAGCATCGCGCAGCTCTGACTGCCGCGAGGAGGGCGCCCAGGTGGGTGTGCTGTTGGAGTGAGTCGGGTGGGGGTGCTGTTGGAGTGGGTCGGGTGGCTGTGCTGTTGGAGTGGGTCAGGTGGCTGTGCTGTTGGAGTGGGCTCTGTCTCAGACGCAACCTCTGCACACGCCAGGATCCGCTTTGGCTCCTCACTGACCTACAGGGCACGTGCCAGCAGGCGCCGTACGCGGCGGGAGCCCTTGGCCTCAGAGAAGTCAAACAGGGACGTGTTTTAGCTTAGGGTTTTCAACCAGGCTCTGCAGCAACCCCGTGGCCCTCTCGCCGCGCATTCAGGTGTTGTGAACAGTTCTGCGGTGAACACGGCGTGCAGGCATCTCTTTGACGTCGCGATTTCGTTTTCTCTGGGTGCGTGCCCAGCAGTGGGATTGCTGGGTCACAGCGCAGTTCTAAGGTTAGTTGTTTGAGGAACCTTCACACCGCTTTGCGTAACAGCCGAGCTAATTTACGTTTCGCCAGCAGCACGCAAGGCTTTACTTTCTGCACAGCCTTCCAAAAGAGTCATGATCACTTGTCTTTTTGACCAGAGCCTTCTGACAGACGTGAGGCGATACCGCACTGTGGTTTTGATTTTCACGTCCCTGGCGATGAGTAACATCCAGCACCTTTTCGTAGACCCGTGGGCTCTCCAAATGCTATTTCTGTCCTGACACGTGCGTGACATTAAGGGCTTTCCCACGCAGTGCTTGTGTGTGCTGTGTCATACTTAAAAAGAAAAAATTAAAAGATGCCATCACCTGGGCCGTTTGAGTGGGAGGTGATGAGAATACCACACACGCAGGGCACTTCCGTCTCTGGGTGTGTTTTGGTTCTTTCTAACAAGCCGTGAGAGCAGAATGAAGATGGGGACAGTTGTGCCCAGTGAGCATCTCTGCTCCTGTCTCCTCCTTGCTGCAAAATACACAGTTGTCACCGTCTGCTGGGGGCTGGGGGTGTCCTGAGAGTTTGATTTTGGGAACTGGCTTATAGGCGCTTCCCCAGCGTGTAATACCAGGAAGTTCCTGCAGCCTGGGGAGGTGTTTCCTTGTCTCTGTGATCTCTGCCTACCTCACAGCGGCCTCCGACTCCTGGGCTCCAGCAATCCTGGGAACAGTTGCCCCATCTGGTCACAATATTTTAGTTCTGGTTGTTTCAAAACATTATTTTGGTGGGGGAGGGTCATTCTTCCATCATAGTACTTAATGAACTCAAATCTAAGGTTTAGACCAGAGGTCGGTAAGCTGTTTCATGAAAATTTTCATAGGTTTCCCTCATAACTATTAACTCTGCTCTTGTAGTAGGAAATCAGCCACAGACAATATTTCAGAAAATGAGTACGTCGATGTTCCAATAAAACTTTTTTGTACAACAGCCTGAAGGCTGGGTTTGGCCAAAGTTTGGTGACCCTGGTTTGGGCTCAAAAAAATTTTTTTTCTAATAAGTGGAAATTTCATTGCTGTTTTCAGATTTTTAAAAACTCCCTATTATGACTTAGTCCATAGGAAGGGGACCTCTGTCTATATGGTCATCAAAATTGCAACTGCCGCTTAAAAGTATGTTGGCACCACTTAGACTTCATACTGTCCATCAGTAGTACGTTTGGCGCCTATAAAACTTTAAAAAATTTATTTATTTACTTACTTTCATTGAGAAATAAAACTCGTATATTTTTAGGGTATACAAAATGAGGTTTTGCTCTATGTACGCATTTCGAAATGGTCCCATGAAGCTAATTCACGTAAGCATTACCTCCCATGCTTATTTATTTATTTATTCGTTTTTCCTTTTATTTATTTTTTTTCCTTTGGGCAGGGAGAGAACACTGAAAGACACTTCACTTAAAGTGTTTTCACGGTGAAAATTATGCAATCACCAGGCAAAAACAAGGTCACCTTTCTAGTTGCCTGGCTAATTTTTTTTTTTCTATTTTTAGTAGAGACGGGGTCTCGCTCTTGCCCAGGCTGGTGTCAAACTCCTGAGCTCAAGCGATCCTCCTGCCTTGGCCTCCCAGAGTGCTAGGATTACAGCCGTGAGCCACCGCGCCCGGTCTCCTCCTAGTCTTTAATTTAACCTGTTAATATCCGTTGGACATAAAACACGTCTTCCCATCTTTCTAAATAAACATTTTGCACTTAGAGAACCGCACTTAGAGATGTTTATGGATTCATGGATGGTGGATATAAGAAACCCCCAACACGTAGTGGGAGTGGTCTGTGATTGTCAGTTAACAATCAAGGGATGAGCCTCGACTAAGAGAACCTCAGAAAGTTCTACTACTGGCGGGGCGCGGTGGCTCACACCT